ACCTCCTAACATGAGCACTGCTACCTCACAGCATGATGCTATCTTTAAAAGAGCAAAGTGAAGTGATGATCTGTCAATCAATAGCTTGCAATTGATGCTTATTATGTACCTACACAGTGCTGGAAATTAGGAAGCAGGTGAGTAGGTTGAACACCTTTGTTCTCTGACAATTTAGGATTTAACTTGGCAAACAGCTGGAGCTCAGTAGTAAGAGACTAATTAATTGCTAGCTTGTAACTACAGATTTAAATAACAAAGGATAATAGCTTATAATTGGGCAGAAAAGTAGATTGTCAGGTGCATTCTCTGTGAAGATCTCATAGTAGATTAATAAAAGGGTTCATCATTTAGACAAAAGAAGCAATGTGAACAAAAATATAAAGGCAACAAGAGTTGAGGTTTTTAGGGAGGCTGATAAATAAGACCTTGCACCTCTCTCATGGGCATGAAATATCCTATTTGGATAGACAAGATAAGGTCCCTAATTCATTTATTAATTCTTCAATTCAACAGGTATATCCTGATTTTCTATAGTGATTTCTTAGGCAGCAAACAGCACTACAGAAATGAATGAAGAGTTTTTGCTTAAGAAAACAGCACAGAGCTCTAGGTGTGGGGGTATACTAAAAATCCAAAAAGTTATAATGGCGCCTTGGTACAGTCAGCTTGTAACAGTCTTCAGTGTCAGGTTTTAAAAGGCATAGTATGACAGAAGTGTCACTTGATGATTTTTCTAAGGGATCTTGGATCCCTTACTAATTTTGTAAGGTTTCTCTTTTTTACTGCTGGTTGCTATTTCCTGATTTTTACTATGCCTGTAATAGTGTATTAGTTTCCAATTACATAGATGTATGCCTTGTCCTACAGTCTGTCCCATAAACCACTGTCAAATTAATAGTATTTTAAAGCATAACTCTTATCCAACTGACTTGTGCTGTAAATACTGTTGACAGGACAGCCCCTGGATATCCCAGCCTCTGTTTCAGAACTGCCCTATGCTTTAATTCCAGCTGACTTCATTTTCCGTTATTCCTCCACTCGACTATTTTCTGATCAAGGTAGCTTATCCACTGTTTTTATAGCAAGATTTCCTATTCTATAACTTCTCGTGAATAATGTGTTTATCTGGGATGCATGTCCTCTCCCAATTGTCACACACAACATGTGAATTCCGTTTCCTTTAGCCTCTGCTTAGTGGAAGCTATAACTCAACTGGAAATAATTTCTCTAGCCTCTAATTTTCACCAACACACAGTTGACACTTGTATAATTCTTTAGATTGAAGTTGATATCTTGTATCTTAACCCTACATAATATTGTATCTTTCCTCATAGCTCCTTACACCTTTCAGGGTAGAGAGAACATGTAGAATATGCTGACTTTATCAAGTAAGGTGAAAGGATGAATAAATAGACAACAAAATGGGCATTAGAAGAATGTTATTAATGAAGAAATTCCTGAAACCATCTGGGCCACTGGGTGCCCAGATAGGCTGATGGGATCAACCATCCACACATTGGAGAAGGTAGGCCAGAAATTGGGAAATGTGGCAGTTTCCAGCTCTGCTGCCAATTTCTAGAACTACTGGAATATTGTTTCAGTACACAGAAAAATAACACTTGAAGGAGTATGATGTCATCGACTCTGCGAACCACATAAAAGGAAGACTCAAAAGTAGAGCAGAGCTAGAACTAATAAGGTTAGGAAGCCAAGCACAAACGTTATTTTGTGTGAGTTTCTGTGCATGCATGTGCATGCAGGTTTGACTTGGCCATGTCTCAGGGAAAAGTTGGCACCGAGATGAATAATCTGATTTACAGTAATGTACTCTCCATCTCTATGTCCAAGTGAACTGCATAATGAACTCTGCAATTTCCTCTTCCTCTCCAAATAAAGGTAATTTCTAGAATGATGAAGTAATTAATGTAGATGAGGGTTTTTGAGAAATAGGGGTAATTGAGTTTTCTACAAGGGATTTGTCCCAAGGTCAAACCAATTTGGAATCATGAATTTAGTCATTCTCAACAACCACCTGCAATTTCAAAGTCCTAACTGAGTAAAAGAACAGAAAGACTCCTCTTCTTTCGCCTCCAAGCTATCTGTCTTCAGGTGACTTTATTACCAACATCTTTACTTGCAGAAATAGTATATGGCATTGGCTGGACAACTTAAAATGTGTTCCATTAATCTGGATAAATTTGAGTTCTTAACTCTTGCCAGTTATGTGAATTGTTTAATTTCTCTGGTCTTCAGTTAACTCACAACTAATGGGGTTTATTAATAATACTTCATGCTGGTTTGTGAAGGATTAGCAAGAAGGGTACTGTCACATAGTAACTAAATTGCAAGAGCCCCAAACACTTATTTTTCCTCTTAGCCACTCACTAAGATCCCCCTGTGAAAGTACCAAGCTAAGCTGTGCTTTTTCCTATGTATACAAACCTACACGATCAATGGATTGAATAAATACATACCTATTTGCCTACTAAATCAGGCATAGTAAGAGATTATCAACAATTGGGAAATAAGAGAGAATAACAATGCACTGTTACTGAAGTTATGCGACTCTTGTCTCTTAAGACATTGTACAGTACTCGCCTCTCTTGTGATGATGTAAATTCGAAGAAGTAAATGAAATGATACCAAAATTCTAGAAAAAAGATAAATTTGTATTGTTTTATTCCCTCTTAGAAAATATCAGATATATACAGTTAAATTGTGCTTTTTGAGAGTAAAAGTTTTTCCCAATTGTTTTTAATTTCACATAATTGCTGTGATATCCAAGGATAACTTTGGTATCTATACTACCAGACTTTATTGTCTCTAGAAGCCAAGTCTTGTCCAAAGCCAAGTGTTCATGAATTTTTTTTGCACTTACCCTCTCATTGTGCTCTAGCTAAGGGTAAGCAGGGAAACTGTCTATATTCAATAGATAGCATTTTGGGGATGGAAATCCCCAGATTTCAAAAAATGCTGATGAATTCAATATGTCTTCCTTAACTGAGTTCACTTATGTGACAGGTACTCATCAACTAAAGGAACTGAGCAAGTGTGAGAGCCAACAGGTATTCACAGCTTTTGTTAGTGCAGTAGTTCCCTCAGCTTTCATTTTACTTTGTTTTAGGTGACTGTCTCAGTTACCTGTGGCCAACAGTAATCATCCCTTTGCCTGGCACATCCAAGTGCACACGATCCTCACTGTGCAGTCACTCAGCAGCCGTGGAGGATGCAGGACGACCGGCACAGTGCCTGTCTTGAAGCAGCCCTTTGGTACTAGTCCGACTACCACGTACAGCCTCCATTACTGATGCCATTTTGCTTCTTTACAGAGGCCCTGCCATCGTCACAGGAGGGGCGAGTACTGTACAAGGTCTTAAAGGAGACAAGAGTCACATAACTTCAGTGACAGTGCATTGCTATTCTCTTGTATTTCCCAATTCTTGATAGTCTCTTACTGTGCCTGATTTAGTAGGCAAATAGGTATGTATTTAGTCAATCCATTGATTGTGTAGGTTTGCATGCACAGGAAAAAGCATAGCTGAACTTGGTACTTTCACAGGGGGATCTTAGAAGGCCTCCCACAAGGACAAAGGGAAAAATTGTATTTTAAAAGTGCTTGGTTGTTATAGTAAAACTGTTGAGCATCTGAAAGCTTTGTGCAAATTAAACATCATATTTGCTCCTAGTTTTCAGAAATAATAATATTAATAGTCAAAGAACTGTATGAGATCACTTTAAACAGGAGTTAATATTAAAAAAAAAGTACTCCATAAGCTTTTCCCCGTTCCTAGAACATGTAAAGGAAAGGAGTTTGATACATTATCATTAAAATTAACATTTACTGGGTTACATTACATGAGAGCTATAAAAAGATGATTCCAAATACAACTATTCAGAAAATCTTCTCAAAATAATAACGAAGTATGAAACATACCTTGGTTGTAAAATGTAAGTAGTGTAGAAAAGTGTAGCTGAAAAGACCTCGATCCACCTTTCTTATCCTCAAATTCCTTACTTTAATGGTAAGTGACACTTATTCTTACTTATCTCTCTAGAACATACTTCAGATGTGGGCGATTTATGTATAAACCCAATCCTATTCTATTTATGCAAAAAATATACTGAAGAGTCAGTCTTTCAGTTCCAGTAGCAAACATAATCCAGTTCTTCAGCTGGATGGATTTCTAAACCCACAGAAGTATGTTTTGTCAATAAGCCTAGACACACCCTTGGTAGAGAGGCAGAATTAGGAAGTAATTTAATAAGCTGGAAATAGTAGATAAATACAGATAGCAGAAAAAATGCCTCTTTGGCAGCATTGTTTCCCTGTACAGTTAGCAGTTAGTCAATTTGATATATGTGTCAAATTATTTTATCCAAACAGACTTTTGCTGTTTTTTTTTCCAGGCTTGGTTAGGAAGCATTACCTGAAGGAAGTCTTCTTCTTATGGTTCCAGTGGAACCGCCCTGGACATATTTGGTTTTCACTAGCTCAAATGAGCAATGAAACTTTCCAGCAATTCATGTATATAGCACAGGTAGACAAACCACCAGTCTGTTAGTGGTAACTGTAAACTGCTGGATAATTCCTGATTGTCGGACCTCTAGTATAAATATTTCAAATGTCTAGGGATTTTTCTTTCAATATTTATTGGTTGATTAAACTACACCCAAAGATTACCAGTAACATCTATAAGCAATGACATTTCCAGGAAAGAGTTAACTAATAATCTAGGTGACTGACTTTTGCAGAGGCCTCGAATTCTCCCAAGTCCCTTTCCCAGAACTACGCCTCTATCCATTGCTCTCACCACTGCTTACTCTGTCTTATCCTTTTCTTCTTTATTAAATCCTGCATTTTCTATGTTTTCCCCACTCCTCTGGTCTCTTCTTCTTTCCTGCCTTAGTTCTCTGTTCTTGTGAAATCACACACCACGCAGACACACCAACACTCACACATGCACGCACAGGACAGTTTTATGTACCGGATCCTCCCTTACCTGGACGAAGAAGTAGGCTCAGTAGTTTGTCTCTGCACACGTGCATGCTTAATTAAATGTTCTTTTAAAGCAGTTTGGACTTCTGCTGGGATATCAGGAGAAGTGTGGCTAATTTTTATTGCGGGCTCGAGAGCTTTGAGCGCTGGCTTTCCGTTTTCTTTAACTTCTTTTTTCTCTTCAGACTCAAAAGCCTCCGCGGGAGCACTTGAAACACTCTGAGGCAGGGCACTGACATTGGGAGTCATGCCTTTGTTCTTCCAGCATGGCCAGCACAACTTCCAGAAGACAAAAAGTGAGACGATCAACAAGGCCAGGCCACAGAAGCTGACGACCACTGCTAACAGGCTGACGGAAATATCTGAAAAAACAAAATTACAATGTAGAGAGATACCAGTTAGTGCTGACCACTGAGGGGCACACATGGTGAGATCATAGATCTCTGAAAAGTTTCACCCCAAGAAAACTTTCTAATTGTACATAGGAAGCATATGATGTGTGCACAACAATTCCAAGTTACACAACAAGGGAGTCAAGATTTTGCATGCAAGGGCTTACGGACAACATGGCTTGAAACTGAAGTTAAACTCCAAACTGACATACAACAGGAAGTGCTTGTCTGTTTCATCTTTGATCTCAAGATGAACCCACACATCCTCCAAGCCAGAAATCATTTTAAATGTGTAAGTGGTTTCTGCTGTACAAAGAATGATATGACTAATCCCGAATGGGTATATTATTAGTTATAGTTCTGAAGTGCATCATCCTTTCTGATAAGTTTATATCTCCTAATGTTTTTGTATCTCCTAATGTTTAATTTCTTGGTTAGTTAATTGCGCTGTGGTCTAAATAATTGTGTCCTCCCTCAAATTCACATATTACAATTCTAACCTCCAAGGTTATAGTATTAGGGAAAAGAAGCCTCTGGGGATGTGGTCAGCCCTTGGGGCAGAGTCTTAAGGGCTAGGATTAGTAAGTACCCTTATAAAATATGCTCAAAGGAACTCTCAACCATTACCATGTGAGGATAAAGTCACCATCTATGAACCAGGAAGAGGGCCCTGCTATGGTTTCAATGTCCTCCAAAATTCTTGTGTTGGAGCCTTAGTGACTCAGTGCAGCATGCTGGGAGGTGAGGCCTGGTTAGATGTGTTTGGGTAATGGGGTAGAGAGCGCATGAACAGCACTGCTGTTGCGCCCGAGCTCCTACTTTTTCGGGACCTATTTACTCAGAGCAGACTTTCTTTTTGGTACTGGGGACCGAACTGGGGTCCTTGTGCTTGCCAGGCAGATGGCAGAACCACTGAACGAAATCACCGGCCCTCAGAGCAGACTTTTATAAAATCAGGTGGGCCCTGGGGTTTTACCTCCTCAGCACTTATCTGCTGGCCCTGCTACCTTGAGTTGAAGCAGCCTGAGATCCTTACCAGATGTGATCTCCTCATCTAGAACTTCTCAGCCTCCAGAACCGTGAGCCAAAATAAACCTCTTACCTTCATAAAAGACCATGTCTCAGGTGTTCTTTTATGGCAATAGAAAACAGAGTACAGAAGGTTCTCACTAGACACTGAACTGCTTGTGCCTTGATCTTGGACTTCCCAGGATCCAGCATGTGTGAAATAAATTTCTGTTGCTTTATAAGTCACCCAGTTTATGGTATTTTGTTATGGCAACCTGAATGCACTACGATAAATTGTTATCTAGATATCTTTAAAATCTTAATTACAATATTAACACATGTATACTATATAAAGAGATTTAAAGAAATAAGAGTAAAAATTTGGGATGGATAAACAAAAAGATGAGGGAGAAGCAACAAACTTCCTCTGCTGAAGAATTCCAAACAATTTTGGTGGATGCTCTCACCTTAACACCCCTTTTCTTAGGGGTGGGTTGCACACAGTCAGGGAATGTCTTTCAAGAGGTTCTGTATGGAAAGGGGTAAGGTGTGGTACAGAATCCCAAGACTAACCTTACCCAGTTAATGCCAACAGAGATGAGCCAAGTTAATAGCCTGTACCTGTGATATTATATGATGGAAATGGCACTTTACTTTACCTATATGGCCTTCATGTCCCAAAACCATAGCCCAAGTGTAATCATGATGGAAATATCAGACAAGTTCTGAGAGAAGGCACCTTACAGAATACCTGAAAAATACTCCTCAAAATTATTCGTCATCGCACACAGAAACAGAAAGTTAGTTTGAGAAACTGTTTACAGCCAAGAAGTGGCTAAGGAGATATGAACACCAAATGCAAGGTGGTATTCTGGATGGGATCCTGGACTCAGGGTCACTAGGTAGAAACCAAGAAAATAGGAACAAGCTCCAGATTTTAATATTTAATCAATATTAGTGAATTCTAACAAATGTACCATACTAATATAAGATGTAAATATTAGGAGAAACTGGTATGTGAGGACTATGTACTGAGTAATTTTTCTATAAATCTGACTGTTCTTAAAAGTAAAATGAAATAAAATAAAAGTTAATGTTCCTCCATACGCTTCCACTTTCACCTCTCAACAATAACCAATGTCAGCACTCTGGTATTACATTATTCTTAAAGTTTGGAAGACCAAATTGATTTGAACAACTTTATAGTTTTCTTTTACAACCATTTTTTAACCTCACATCAAATCCAAGTCCAAATTCTATTTATTTTAAATGAAATGTTAGGAATGTATGGGACAGATTGTTCCTCTTACCCTAAAACAAATTCTTATCTTGAAGTCCTACCTCTCAGATTATGATTATATTTGGACATCACGACTTTAAATGAGTGCTAAAGTTGAATGAGGTCATATGAGTTGGACCTGAGTCAATGAAACCGACGTCATTTGCAAGAAAAGGAGAATGATCAGGGAGAATGATCGTCATGTGCCAACCAACCAAGGACAGCGGCTCAGAAGAGCACAGTCTTGATCCTGACATCTGTTCTCCGGAACTTGTGAGGGAGTACATTTTTATAGTCGTCAATTAGTCTGGGATATTCTGTTATGGCAGACCTAGTAAACTAACACAAAGTAATTAATTTCCTTTAACTATCACCTTAAACATAGTCTCAACCTTCTCCAGAAATTACTACAGACATCAGTTAGGTATGTCTGCTCAGCTCTCACTCTAACAAACCAAAATATCTCCTACGACATCATAAACAAGTTGGGCATGGTGGTGCATAGCTGTAATCCTGGCACTGAGAGGCTGAGGCAGGAGAATTGTAAGTTGGAGCCCAGCCTAGGTAATAATTTAGCAATTTTAAAAGACCCTGTTTCAAAATTAAAAGAAAAACCAAAATAAAATAAAAAGGTTGGAGATAGAGTTCAGTGTGAAGGTCCTGGGTTTAATCCTTAGTACCATAAAGCAAACAAAACCCATAAAGCATGGACAATTACCTGATATTCTTTTCTTCACTTTGCTTTGTTTTTTTCTCAATAACATTTTAAGTCTGACTTCATGTTAAGAATTAACATTACACGGTAATTCATTATGGTGGATATTTAGATTAGGACCACAACTGTAAAATATGCTACAATAAGTTTCTTTGCATCTTTCTCTTCATGAATATATTTCTGAATATTTTTATAAGGTACCTTCCTTGGAATAGAAGTGCTGGGTAATAGGTTGTATATGTACTTAGCTTTACTAGATATTTTCAAAACGAGTCTCAAAGTTGCTGAAACAAAAACATTATTATCATTTGCCATTTCCTAAAATTTCAGAAATTACTGTGGCACTTTAATTTTCACTGATCTAATAGAGAAATAATACCTTGTTTTAATTTATATTTTCCTGATCAGCAGAATAAAATTTGTAGCTAATGGAAATCCATGCAGAAAATGAAGGCATTTCCAAATTTTTATTGCTACTTAATTATAAGAATAGGAATTAATTGTAAAATTATGTGATATAGCTATTAATATTTCCTGTTGTTTATGAAGGCAACCATTGAATGTTTTCCATTTATATTCCACTGATGAAAAGGAAACAATTGTGATGAAAGGGTATGGTTGTATTTTGTATGTTATGATTTACTTTATTATTTACTTATTACCACCATATCCTGAGGAAAAGAGGAAAATATAAAAGGAATGCACTTCCTGGTTATTAGCTACGGTTGAAAGATGGGTGAGGACTTATGGCATCTGCCTCTGCTTTGAATGTGCCTCCTAAAGTTCTTTTTTGGTACTGGGGATCGAACTGAGTTCCTTGTGCTTGCAAGGCAGGTGCTGGAACCACTGAGCTAAATCCCTGGCCCTGCCTCCTAAAGTTTACGCATTAAAAACTTCATTCCCTCTGTGCCAGTGTGGGAGACTGAAGCTTAATAAGAGGTGAATCATTCCTGGGGGCTCTACCTTGGTGAGTGGATTAATGTTTTCATGCAGGAGAGGGTCAGTGAGCCCAGTGAGTTCCACTCCTTCCTCTGGTGCTGCACGCTCTCATCTTACCACTGTGCCATGGAAATACACAACACAAAGTTCCTCACCAGACGCCACCAGCAGAGGTTGGATAGTCCAGCCATTAGAATGGTGAGAACTAGATTTCTTTTCTTTATAAATTACCCAGTCAGCAGTAGTCTGTCACAGTCACACAAAACAGAGAGACAGTTTCACAATCAGCATGTACTTTCAATTCTAGTTACATTACATTTTTCTGTATATATCAGCTGAACTCACTTCTTCAGTGAGATATTTTCCATCAAGTTGGAGGCAAAACCCAACTGCAGGACAGTGTGTTTAGGGGAAGGACGGGAGTAGTTGTTAGTTTCCTAACATTCCTGCGGTACCAGCCTTAGAGAACCATGTACACTGTTTCCACAAAGTTTTTTTTTTTTTAATAATCCAAGTATGTCACTGCTTGGCTTCATATGTTCTCATTTCAGGAAACAGCCCTGTGAAAAGCTCTGAGCCTACATCCACTTTCTCACGGCTAAAAATTCTCCTTCAACAATCAACATCTTGTTCTATAACTTGGGAAACCATTTAGTATTTCTTCCAAACTCGGACACTTTTGAAAGTGAAAGGTTGCTGTATGGATAAAGGCAGGGTAGCAGGAAGTCTGGTCCTGGCAACTGGGGTGTAGCGCCATCCTACTCTCTATCTGATAACCTTCCACCCCTCCCTGGAGTGTCTGTACCAAAGCCAAACTTCACCTGACTTCCTACAATCTCTGCAGTTTGACCCTTGGTCGCTGATCAGCTCATTCTCCTGCCACTCCTTAACCTACCGCTTCTTACCCTGGCCACACATTACTTTCCCCGTCCTTCTGTTTTAGCTGCTTTCTGCAGTTCCGATGCAACTTCTGCTCCTGTTTAGCCATCTGACCAATCTGTGGTCATCCTTCTGTGCTCAGACCCAAGA